CAACTTTGACAATCAGCAATCCTCCACATCAAGAAACAACACCACGTGTGCCCAAATTCCCGAATCATCCAGCCAACAAACACTTGAACCCTTGAACCCAGTACAATGTGTACTGCAAGCCTGACAAAGAAAATTCGCCCAAAAATGGACTAGCTCATGTGTAACTGCACTTTTGAACTTTGGAAGGCACAAGTGCCATGGAACATATCTTTTATATTTTGTATGTGCATTCTCCAGCATTTAAGCCATCTATTCACATATAGATGTTGCTGCATTTTGTAGTTGCGTGGTGGCATATATGCCATGCAAACTAAACTTTTGTGTTTGCGCTTTTGGTACCTAGAATTCCAAAATCTGTTTACATATAGATGCTCTTGAATTCTAATGCAAACTTGGTGTATTTTTGTATTGCTTACCTGCTATTATGGCTTTTTATAGCAGGTGTTATGGACTTAAATTTTTCACATATAATGGTTAATGACTTTTTATACCAGGTGTTATGGACTTAAATTTTTCACATATAATGGTTATGCTCTTACTGTATTTAACTCTGCACAATTTCATATACATCAAATGTCTACCTAACTTGGGCCGGCTGTGCTGTGCACAACCGTAGCCTTCTAGTTTCATATAATACTCGGGATTTATGGGATTTCGGCAAGAAACCCATTTTTGAGTGGTTAACATTATTTCTCAAGCCCCACGTCCTATGGTTATTGCGACATCCATCTTTCTTCGCCTGTCGAAGTACCCTAAAATTTGCTCGCCCACCGCCTTCGTGATTGATTTGAGTTTTGTATATTGGGCGAAAGGGCGAAACTTAATTGTTAAACTAGAATAGATTTTGTATCTCCCTCTTTCAAAACCTATTTTTCTTATCAATTTCACCCAATTTCCCCTAAATTGACAACCCCCAAAATTTGTGTCTGTGACGGCGGCGAAGATACACATACCATGTGCGTGAGCGGTGACAACCGGTGGCTTCAGGCATATGGCAGTCGATTTTTTCTTCAGCTTCAGATTCCCCAAACTTCAAAGCCCGCAAGCGGTTTTTTGAAAGCCCAAAAACCCTACCGGCGGCGGCGAGGCGATGGACGACGGTCGACAAACTACAGTGCAAGGAGCAGCTGCAATGACGACGACAAAGCAAGAGACTTACGAGGCGAGCAGGAGATAGAGAGATAGAGGGAGACCGGCGGGGCGGCGAGCCAACGACAGACAGATAGGGGGAGAATTGTGGAGACTGGAGAGGCGAGCCGGCGACAGAGTGAGTGAGGCCCGGTGCAAAGGTGGGCGACGCAACTCCACGGTGCGACGGTCGGCGACTTGGACTGGTGACGGTGGCGTCGTCGGTGACTCCTCAGTGAAGCATTGAGACGTGGGTAGCATTTACTTCCATTTCGTACCAAAAAAAAAGGACAATTGGTTTCTTAATGCATATATTATGGATCTAATTGGCGAGCATTGATGGAAATGAGGTCCTCGACTACTAAGAATTTAAGGTATCGGGTCCGAATCTTGTTATGTCTCTTGGCTTTATTTATCTCGACACTGTGTGGTGAATTTAGTTGGATATCATGTTTATAAAGGCGATAAGACGCTGGTTTATTGGGTACTTGAGCTTTGGAAGCCTGGAAAACTTCACTACTCAATGCTTCCTTTTATTTCAGAAGCTCATCTCTCAATGTCTTTTGAGAAAGTGTGGATTCAATCGAATCACATCTCTCCTTCAAGGTATCGTACTGAGATACCATCAGAGATTCCATCTTGGATTCTATTTCCTTCACCATTCCCCTTAAATCGGTATCCTCCGCCTTTGCGCTTCCGTCTTTCTTCACGCAAAAATCTTTAATTACAAGCTGCTGGGCTTCCATGACATCTTCTTCCCCCATTGGAATCTTGAAATGACGTGTCAAAGCCGCCACTAACATACCAAAAGACGGGGAGAACCTATCTAAGGTCTGAATACTAGCTACATTGGTCCATATAAAGGGACAGTTTACTGGGTTCTCGTGCATCGCACATTGAAGGATAAAGATGTCTCTTGCTAACTTTTTAGATTCCTTTTTGCCAAACGCATTATAACTTAAAATTCCTGGTTATAGCTATTGCAGGATCCTTAATAAACCTACTTTGCATGTCTCCTTTTGGCTTCGGACAACCAGTGATTTCCAACCAGGCATTCTCTACATTAAACCCTTTCGGAGGTGCCTCAGCTCCCGTAGATACAAAACCGAATATTTGATGCATCAAAGCGGCGTCGATCGTCCTCTTCTTGTCTCCAAGGCGACACACGACATCCATACCATTTTTAGCAAATTTGAATGTTTTATAAAATCCAAAAGCAAGCTCGTATAAGCTTCAAGATCCATCTTCGCGTAGTCTTCCAAATGAAGAAATTGTAAATACTTCTTCACATTGACGATTATTTCGGGTTTTTCACTCTGGCTGAATTCTAACACAACATAGGATAAGACACTGAACTTGAAGAGTAGTGTGTAAATACGCTCGGCTGGTCGTATTTACACGCGACTCTCCAAGTTCAGCGTCTTACCCCATGTTGTGTTAGACTTCAGCCAAATTGAAAAACTCGAAATAGTCGCAAATGTGAAGAAGTATTTGCAATTACTTCATTTGGAAGACTACGCGAAAATGGATCTTGAAGCTTATACGAGCTTGACTTTTGAATTTAATACAACATTCAACTTTGCTAAAAATGGTACGGATGTCGTGTGTTGCCTTGGAGACAAGAGGAGGACGATTGACGCCGCTTTGATGCATCAAATATTCGGTTTTGTATTTACGGGAGCTGAGGTACTTCCGAAAGAGTTTAATGTAGAGAACGCTTGGTTGGAGATCACTGGCTGTCCGAATCCAAAATGAGACATGCAAAGTAGGTTTATTAATGATCCTACAGTAGTTATAGTCCAGAAATTTTTAAGTTATAATGTGTGAAAAAAAGGAATCTAAAAAGTTGAGCAAGAGACAACTTTTTATCCTCCAGTGGGCGATGCACGAGAACGTTGTAAACTGTCTTTCCTTTATATGGGCCAATGTAGCTAGTATTCAGACCTCGAATAGGTTCTTTCCGTCTTTTGGTATGTTAGTGGCGGCTTTGACACGTCATTTCAAAATTCCAATGAGGGAAAAAGATGTCGCGGAAGCCCAGCGGCTTGTAATTAAAGATTTTTGCGTGGAGAGAGACGGGAGCGTAGAGGCGGAGGATACCGATTTAAGAGGAATGAAGGAAATAGCAGCCAGGATGGAATCTCTGATGGTATCTCAGGACGATACCTTGAAGGAGGGATTGGATTCGATTGATTCCACACTTTCACAAAAGGCATTGCAAGATGAGCTTCTGAAACAAACGAAAGCATTGGGTAGTGAAGTTGTTACCTTGAGATGTGATCTGCAGCAAGTACAAGATGAAGTTGCAACATACAAAGAATGGATTGGAAAGTCAATTCCCGAGTTAGACAGCTGACAAACTAAAGCAACTGATCTTGAGGTACATTTTGAAATACCAGTATGTGATGAACAATCACACATGCATTTACAAATTATTAACATCTCCTTTGTTAAATTTGCAGTCGACATGTATGTCTCAAAGTGAGCAGATAAGAAGATTACAGGAGCAGCTTGCTGTCTCAAAGGTCTTTTGATTTGGTTGTGTTTCTTACTAACAGAACCGTGGTGGCATTGTTAGAATTAGTATTGAGGCCAAGTTTTCTTCTTCTATTAGCTATCGGCATTGGAGGTCAGATCTGAGTTGGAGGAATAGAAGACAATCAATTTTGAGTTACAGAATCGTCTTGTAGAAGGGAAAAAACTTCGCAAGAAATTGCACAACACAATCCTGGTATCAGTGATCAGTTTTGATATAAATTCTTTAACTACATTAAATCATTTTGGAGAATATATTATATACTACACTGTGGCAATATCCTGTCTTTATGTTCTTCCATTGAGCATGATTTCTTTCTGATGGCAGGAGTTGAAAGGGAACATCCGTGTCTTTTGTAGAGTGAGGCCCTTTTTGTCTGATGATGGAGTCGGAAACAATGCTAAAGCAACGTCACCGGAAACATTGGGACGAAGCATTGATTTGGCACACAACGGTGATCATAGTTGTTGAAAGTTTTCATTTGTGTGCCTTGGATATGAGAAATCTTTGCTTTACTGAATTTCACATTACTTGACAATAACTTATCAGGGCAAAAGCTTTCTTTCACTTTCGATAATGATTTTGTGGAGATCTCACAGCTTGTTCAGAGTGCACTTGATGGCCATAAGGTCATAATCCCAATGAACTCTTATATTGACCCCTGATAATTTAAAAGTATATAAGTTCTGGTTGATGACACTGGTTTCTACAGAACCAAAGTAATTTCAATAAACCTTTTTCTGCTAATGAACATCATCCTTCCTGCTTTGAGATATTGCAAGCAATTGATATCCGTGTATTCCTTATTTATTATTATAATCTCGAACCATTTTTTAATAGTTACATGGTTTACAGGGGGTTATATATTTTATCTTTATTATTCCTTTTATTTGATTGCTATTTTTTAATTGTGTTAAAAGTAACCACCAGTTTGTGTAAAATGAGGAGTTAGATTGGAAACTGGTAAATGTACTCATTGCTGACTATATTAATCATATTGATGTATTTCATGTCAGGTATGCATCTTTGCATATGGCCAAACAGGTTCAGGCAAGACCCATACAATGATGGGTAAGCCAGGACTACCCGATCAGAAAGAACTCATTCCAAGATCACTAGAGCAGGTGTTTGAGACGAGGCAAATTCGTCAAGCCCAAGGATGGAAGTATGATATGCGGATACATGGAGAATTTCTCCTATTTACTATGTTATTTTTGGCTCAGTGAATTCACTGTTACCTTTTTTTTTT